ACCCCCCCCTGGTTGCATCCCAAATCCCAGCCTTGTGCGATTGGGACAGAGCGGGGCAAAGCTGCCGACCCCATCCCACCCTGCCACCCCTGTCCCCAAATCCTCAGTGGGGACATTTTGACCCCCCCACCCCCAAGGGGACATTTCAGGGCCATAACCCCCCCCCAGGGCTGATTTGTGCCAACGGCCACAGCGCTGTCCCCCTCTGCCCCCCAAAATCCCACCAGAGCAGCGTCTATGAACCCCAAAACACCCAGGATGGGGACAAGGCACCCCCCCACACCCCCCACACCCTGGGGGGGGGGGGGGCGCCCTCCCCCCCCCCCCCAGCAGCCAAAAGATACTGCCCAGGAGCAGCCACACGTGCTGACCTGGAGCCACAGCACCAACAAACCCAAAACAGTGGGAAAAAAAATTTTTCCCCAAAAAAATTCTTTATATGGGACAAGCGGGTCCTAGTCCCGGAGCTCACCCTCGTTAAAGGGCTAATTAACGCCACTAATAGGGGCTGCTGATTGGGGTGGGACGCCAAGTTTCCCAGCAGCGAACGCAGGATGCTGCAGCTATGAAGGGGGTGATAAATATATGATAAATTTATTGTAAGTTGGGAATTTATATTTAAGATAAAATTATTCTAAGATGGGGATTAAATAGGGTGCGAGAGGGACCCATCCGTCAGATCCCAGAGGGGTTCATTAACGTGGGATGCTAATTAGGATCCCAGGGGGTGCCACCATGGCTGTGGCTAGGACAGATAATTTATTAGTATTTTGCTGATCCTACAGCTTTCACTGCCCCCCCACCTCGTGCCACAACCCAGTGGGATCAGCCCGGTAACACCACAAACGACGGTGGGGGGGTCGCGGTGACCCAGGTTAGCACCGGCAGAAAGGTGCCCCCCGCCCCAATCCCACAAGCTCTACCCTCCCCTACAACAAACCAGCAGCTAAAAACCACCCCAAAAATAGCATTTTTTCCCCCAGTTCCACCAGTTCAGGCCGCCCACCCCAGTAACAACCAACCCCTCCTCGTGGGCCGAGGAGGTTGAAGGGTCTTTTGGTGGGGGAAATAAAACCCACCGTGAAACGGTGACGTGGAACATCCTCATCCAACTGCCGCCGTACAAAAGCAAGACCCAAAAATATTTGGGGTCGAGAGTCCGAAGAGGGATGAGAAAAGGAGGGGGTGGGCAGGGCAGGGGGAGGCTGTCCGTGCCGCGATAAAAGTTTTTTTTTTTTTAGGGTATTTTTTTCTGTCGGGGAGGGGAAATATTTACCGGTACAGAAAAATGATTACACGACATGAGATTTCATCAGCCTGGCCACAAACACACACGGCGTGGGGGACAGCATCCCCATCCTGAAGAGGGAGCAGAGCTTTGGAGATGAGACGGGGAGGGAAAAAAACTGAACTAAGCTCCATCGGCAGCGGCACAGCACAGGTCCCTCTCCGGAGCTCGGCTCCCCGTCCCAGGGCCGGAGGAGCGGAGGTTTGGCTTCTCAGGCATATTCCAGCTGGGCAGGGCTGCAGGTACCATCGCTCTTGTGCTCCGCTGCTGCCATACTTGCCTTCCCCTCGCTGCCGCCGCTCTCAATGGGCTTGGCAGACATATAGTCCCGCACTTCGATCTCCATTTTTTTGGCTTTCAGCGCTGCCGTGTGCAGCTTCTCCAGGAAATCCGGCATACCTAGCAGGAAGAAGGGGAGATGGTGAGCGAAGCGGGAGAGGGATGGGCATCCGCTCAGCTCCAGAGATGCTGGAGGGAAGATCCTCCTGTCTTACGCCCTTCTCCCACTCCATTCCCATCTCCCCTGATTTTTCTTTACCCTCCTGATTTTTCTTTTCCCTTCCAGTAACACAGCTCTGTCACTTTATGCAAGGGGGATCCCACAGCCTCGCTGGCAGTAAGAGGTCTCTGCCGCTTCCCATCCCCCTGCTCAGTGATAACCTCGTGGTTGGGGTGCTTTGGAGTGGTTTTTTAATTAAAAAATAAATAAATCAACTCTTATTTGATTCACAGAGATCTGTTCTGGAAGAGGGGTGCAAAGACCTCAGAGCCAGGCAGCCCCTTCTGTGAGCCCTGGGGACCCTCACCACCTCCTGGCTACTTTATAAGTGAGCTGGGAGTGAGCCTGTGACACGTTAATTAATGTTTAAAATTATTGCCTCTGCCGCAGGAAGGGCTGCACCAGCTCCACCCAGTCCCACCTGGAGATGCTGTTCTCCCACCACTCATTTTTATTCTAAAAAGTGAACATTAAGTGCATGGAGGAGGCCCCTGCACCAGGCAGTTACTGTGGCACAGGGGTGCATGGGTGATGCCAGCCCCCCCCGCCAGAGCTTTAGCTGCCTTCTTAGATGCATTAAAGAGCGCACTCCGGAAGAAAAGAGGTTTCAGTGGTTGGCGAAGCAGGGAGGTGCAAGAAAAAAAAACGTTGGTCTGATGCTCGAGTGTGCTGAATGAACGTATTTCAACTCTTTCTCGCCTCAGTCTCTACCACGAGCCACATGATGGCAAAAGGGGAAAAAAAAAAAATCACCACAGGCAACACTTCCGATTTTATTCCCTTCCCCGATGAATAAAATGAGAGTTAAAGATGGTGACAGCTCCTTTTTCTCCCAATTTCACAAGAAAATGGCGATCTTTCCCCTGCTCGGGGGGTGCATTGAACCAGTGGGTATTGTAATGCCAAGCGCGCCTCGGGCTCTTCCAGGTTTATTTCGGGGTGGCTCTGCCCTTGGCTCGGCCAGATCCTTTAAATGCCGCTTTTTCCCCCCTGCCAGGTAAAGCTGAGCTGCTTCGTGGGAGTCTCAGCACAGGCACTGTACCTCTAAACTAGAAGGAGTTTTCTCCCCTGTTCACTGTAATGGGGAAGAACTCGATTGCAGAAATACTTCAGAGCCACCGCTGCTCTACAGTAAGGAAAAACCAGCTCATTTCATTAAAAAAAATTTAAAAAAGGATCCTGCTGTTTTTTCCTTCTGCCTGGCATAGACTGAAGAGAAGGAATATCCTTGTGCACAGACCCGTTCCTCCTCACAGCCAGGAATGCAGGCAGGACTCCCCGTGATAAAGGAAGAGCAGCCCAAGGCACCAGAAATACCCCCAAATCCTCCAGAACTCAGTTTTTAAGCTTCTCCATCTATTTTCTGCCCCTCACAGGTGGAAGAAGGGGAAGGCAGGAGCAGCCAGGCTCGCTCCAGAGCAAAGAGCCGGAGGGATTTCTTACCAAGGGGTGAATTCTCACCACCGAAGCTCACTCACCGCTCGAGACCATCCAGCTGACGCAGTAACGGGGGAACACAGTCTGAGGGTTGTCACTGTAGGTCAGCAAGTAGTCAAAACCGTTCTGGGAAAGGAGAAGGCGAGTGAGCCTGAGCTAGCAGAGAAACTCCGCTGGGTTTTGCATCCTCACCTAAATTCCCTTTAGGATCGCTCTTTTGGAGAAGGAGGTGTCATTCCCCTAGTCCTTCACTGACCCAGCACGCTCTCTTGAGGCTCTGGATACCCTGCAAAGACCCAGCGATGCTTTTTCTGAGAGCATTAAGTGCTAGGAACGACACTCGTGAGGCTTAAGGCATTTAAAAAAAGGAGCCTGGTGCTCCAAAGTGGCGTGTTTGGCTCTCCAGGAGCACCACGCTCCTGCAGGAAGTCTCAAGCTACTGGGACAGAGCTTCACATCCTTCCAGAGCCAGACATAGGATGGGTTTCTCTTGCCTTTGGGAAAATAACTCATCCCTCTTTTCCGACTCTGGACTATTGACCCCAGCTTAGCACTACAGACGATGGCCGGAGAAGGAACAGCTCCCCTCGGAGCAGCAGGAAGCTCTCTTGTGACAAGCTTTCTGCTCAGTTTCCCAGCCCACCCCCAAAACGTACCTCGTCAAAGGTTTTGTGGGGACGGATGACCATTTGGGATTCATAGGTTCTGACGCGAACGTACTCAGGGTCTTCAGGGACGCTTGGATGCTCCACTGCCCTGGAGGGAACAAGAAAAGGGAGCAGCTCTCAACTTCATTTTACAGATGGGAGACGGAAGAGAGCCGTCGGGAGGTCAGCCCGGCAATACCTACCGTGAGACTAGTACCATCAGGTTGTTCTCTTTGTCTACGCTGTACCGTCGAACGTATACGTAGTCTCGTGAGTACATAGGGTACTGGGTAAGAGAAAGAACAGGCATCAACCCCACTGCTGGCTGTTTGCCTGGGGGAAGATCACCGGAGCAGGAAAAAAGGAACTACTCACCGGGAAATGAGTGACCCAGTGAATCACTTCTGATCCAGTGGCCAAGTCTCTCTCGATTACGTCCAATTTGATGACCAGTGAGTCCCACTTCTTCCTGTATTCAGTGTCCAGCTGGCAAGAAAGAGAGACTGAGTCACAACAAATTCCAATAGTGTTGTTAAAGGAAGGTAACCGGCCCTTTTCCTCATCCTGTGGAAACAAGCTGCGTCATGGTCAGGCGTTTTACCCACCAGGAAATTATTAAAAACTCTTTGAAAGTCACCAGAAGAGGAAGTGCAGGAGCTGGCAGGGCAGGCAGAGAGCGAGCTAGGACCAGGAACCCGCTATGCTCCTGCAGCTGATTGCAACCCACACGTGCTGATCCTTCATTTCCAGCAGGGACGGGCAGCAAAACCCGATAAGGGCATGGGATAACTCACCCTACTTCTGATCTATATTGGGACCAGCTCTAGATCATGTAAATGGTATAAAGAGAAGAGAATATTCACCATTTCTCCGTCCCACGCCTCTGGCAGAGGCTGTACTTTAGTTCTAACATGCCAAACAGCCCGGATATCAAAGCCGCTCACCTGTACGTTGAAGAACTGCCTGGGAGTCACATCTGTGTACGACCCAAACACTGTGGTAAAGAGAAAGATTTTAGTCCCAAGGCATAAGCAAGTCTTTAACTCAGTGCAGCAAGATTAAAAGGAAAAGGCATTTTCTAAGGCAGGTGGCAGGGCTGGGACTCCTCCAAAGAGCTAAGGGGGGGACAGGACTACAGAGAGGGACGCAAAGGATGACAATTCCCTTTTTTTTCCGGTTTCCTACAAATACAGGCCAGGCAGGATGCAGGAGGGACACCCCTAACGAGGACTCAGTGCAAGAAGAACAAGCTACAGGCGGGGTATGGGGAGCACCGTTACCTCGGTACTGGTATAAGTGGGTACCCTCGATTGGCCGCCGCCAGAGCTTAAAGTGCTTCTTGTCCATGATCATCTCCCAGGGCTGCTCCCCGGGAGCTGCGATCGCCTCTCGTTCCAATTTGGGATCCAGCCGCTGATACTCGCCCGGACTGCTGCCCTGTAACAGGCTGGATATGTTCTCCATGTGCTTCATCTCCTGCGCGGACCTGGTGGAAGACAAAAACCAAAACACCGGTTAGTAACCAAAGCCTCATTGGAGCCTTTCTGCTACAAACAGAGTCCCTCCAGACAAGCAAAAAACCTTCTCAGCACAGTCCAGGCTTCATCTAGAAGGTTCTTGGTGTGGGAAGAGCAGCCTGGGCTCTCCCCTCTTGCCTCGACATGGAAAACCCACCCCTGCAGCCTTTTTCTTTCAGCCTAAGGGTCTTGTGCTTATATATATTATACAGCACTGAAAAATCACGCCGTGGTGTGTTCAGTAGGGGCTTCCACATGTCCTCTTGCAGGGTAGAAATGTAGTCTGGGGTTGAATGCAGCTGCTGGGGAGTCCCTAAGCCAGGTGGCCCTTGCAGCACCACAAAATGTCACTGGCAGCACCAGGACGGGCTGCAGGGCTCGCTCTTCAAGGAGAAGAAGGAAAAAACCCTGTGGGATGGTAGCAGTGTTGTTGTGCTGGCTGTTTCTTAGGGGAAGCGTACAGGGGCTTGTTCCTTGTACAGATGGGAAGTGCTTCTCCCCCGCCCTGGTGAGATCTGGCAGACAAACCACCCTCCATCCTCAGCAAATATCAGCCTTTCCATGAAGGAAAAAAAACCCAACCCCGCAGCAGTCGCCATCAGATGCTCGCAAACCAGGATTTGTTTTCCTGGCTGAATTGAATAGAAGCTCCAGAGGATGAAACAAAGTAAGATGGATTTAAGGAAAAGAAGGATTTTTGGATTGAAGGCACCGAGGTACGAAGTTGTTCGCAGGACTGAGACTTGGGGTGCAAGAGGAGGCGGAGAAGGGGCTCCCCGCCATTTCAGGGGGTGGGTTGGCTCATGAGAGCCTGTCTCGGTCTCCAAAGCGACAAGAGGCGAATTGCCGACAGCAGCCAGAGTTTGCAAGGCAGCAAATGGGAACAGCAGGCTCTCCTATGAGAGGGAAGGAGAGAGAAGCAGCAGGGGCTTCCCACAAACAGGGCTCCACGGACCACCAACCCCCCAGTTTCAGCATCCTTCACCTACTGGAACTGGATTCAGATCTTGGGTCTCAAAAATATGGGGGCAAGAGAAGAGGGCAGGAAAACCTCCCACTGCTGGGGTAAATCCCTCTGAGCTGCGGCTTCAGCCCCCAAAATAACCCATTGGAGAGGAACAGCTGGTTTATCTACACCTGGAGTCCTCAACCTCAAGGAAGGAGGATCACTTACTGTCTGCAGCGCTTTCAACCCTCCCAGCGGTACCTGAAGACACTAATTATATTAAAGTAATTAGCATCAGCCAGAACTAAAGTACCAATTTGTAACCTGCAAGGCAGGTCTCACTGGTCTGCCTGAATTAATGTTCACGGTCCCTGGAAATCACCAAGCTCCCAGCCTCCCCCGGACTGCTCTGAAAGCTTCGCAGGACAAATTTCATCCACAAACCCACTTTTCCCCAGGTTTGGGGGGCACGGCTCCAGCGTGACCCCCCCCAGACATTCCTCCGCCCCCCAGCACAGCCCTACCATTACCTTCACCAAGCAGGGAGAGCCCCGCTCCCTCCATCCCACTTCTGGTTTACTTATTACAGCCTTCACTCCATCCCTCCGTGAGCCGGCTCCTCTCACTGATACGGCAAAACCCGAACGGGCTGGGTTCACAAACTGAGTTGGGGGTGCAGAGGGCATGGAGCCCGCGGGAGTGGCAGCAAGCCGAGGAATCAGGACCGGGAGATATTTCCAAGTGGGATCATCTCCGTGACTGCAACCGATGGGATGGGACCAAACCAGGGCAGGGAGCAAAGCCTCTGTGCTCCTGCTTTGCCACCTCTATCCTCACTGGAGAAGAGCTAGAAGAATAACAGCCACAGGATTTATTTGCATCAAGGCACGAGGCTGCTACCAGCCTGGCCCTTCTCCCGCTGCAAACAAGCGCCTGTCTCACGGCATAAGAAACAAAATCCACGATTCCCCTCTCCGTGAGGAAGGGGCACAGTATCACAACACCCGAAAACCAAACCACCGTCGCCAGCGTTTGAACAGTGAGGGCTTGGCGGTGCCCACAAGCCCAGCCCCACACCTTAAACCTGCACATTTTAACTTCTAAACGAAGCTAATGCTGGAGGAGTTGGCCCCCAGCCCGACAGCAAAGCTCTCGCCTCGACAGGGCCTCCATCGCCCAGCGCAGCCTGCTCCGACCGGCCATGCGGAGGACGAGGCGCCTTCATTAGCCGGCAGCCGCCTGAGCCACTTCCCTGGCCGGCGTCCAGCCCTGGCCTCACTTTACCGGGGGGGGGGGAGCTGCGTCGGTGTTTCTGCACCCGCTGCGGGCGGGATGCCACGGCAAGGGATGGCTGGGCAGGCTGGAGGTGACGCCATCCAGGGGCAGAGCTCTCCCTTGCCATTTTTGAACCCCCCCTGACGGCTACAAACCACCATGTCAGAAGGTGGGGATGGCATCGCCGGAGCAGGGATTTTGGTTTTAACAAAAAAAAAGAAAAGCCTCCCCCAAAGTTAAATGAGTGGGGGACAGAGGAGGAGAGCCGGGAGGGGAAGAGAAAGATGATACCCAAGCAGTGAGCTATTTTAAACCCCGGGAGGAGACACAGCTCCCTGGCTGACACAAAGCCACGGGGGAGCAACCTGGGAGGGGAGAGCTAAGTGGGAAGAGTTTCACCACACGGTTTTATCCTATTTATTTATTTCCACCATCACTTGGAGCACGCACGTGGCATACTCCCACCTGCCTTGTAAAAAATACATCGGCCATTGAAGAGAGGAGAGCAAAGCTCTCCTGCTGACACCGCCTGTGACTCCCAACTCATTGTAACAATGAGCAAAGACTTTGCTGAGGACTTTATCGCTCCCGCAACTAAACTGAAGCCTAGTGAGCCATGACGGAGAGTAAATGATTACAGGAATAAGGAGAAAGTAAATAGTAAAGAGGAATAATAAAAGTGAACTCTCCCTTGCCTCGTAAAGTGCACTGGAAGAGGATTGGGCTTGCGGAGTCCTTAAATTAAGGTGAGGAGGCTCAAGCCCACAAGAGGTAACCTTGAACAAGAAAAGACTGACTCTGCTTTTAATCCCAGGCCTAAGCCAAGCCCTGCTGAGACTGCTGGAAAACATCAGGCAGGGTTTATCCTGGGCACTGGGACCTGAAAGGCCACACGATGCAGAGCGGCAGCTCTCTGTGTCAGGGAATAAAACCAGGATTTGCTCCTTTTTCCAGCGCTGGCTGCGCGTAAAGGTTGGGGATCTCTCCAAAGTGTTCGAAGGTGTCATAAATCAGGGTGTGAGGGTTGTTTCTCATTAGCTCTAAGATTTAATTAAGCCTTAGGTAAGCTACTTAAACAAATACCAGGTATTTAACGCCCACAGGATGGTCTGGACAAAGCACCCGGACGCAGAATTTAAGAGAGGGGAAAGCTGGTGATGCCCCATCGCACCCCGAGCTTCTCATTAAGTTGTACTTACTCTCTCCTGACTCACCCCTACTTTATCACATGCTATGCTGGGTAGTTACACCTAAATGAAGCTGCGTGCTTCCCCGGCCATCTCAAAAAGTGACCTGAAAGGTTGGAGGGTCCTTCTGTTATCATCCCATCAGCTTGGGGGGTACTGCCCCCTGTCCCCCCCTTATGCCAGCACTGTCCACAAGGTGTAAATACTCTGTGTAGCAGCACAATGTGGGGGCACCCAGTATTGGGGCGAGGGGGGGGGTGGGGTGCACACCTTTCCATAGCACCCTCAGGGTGGGAGGGGGGGTAGGGAGACACCCTGAAACTATCGCAGGGAGGTTTGGGGGAGGCACCCTCTTGGGGCAGGATTTGGGGGGTAGAGGGTGCACCCCCAGATCCTAAGGAGGGGAGGGAGCTCAGCAGGGGGGAACCAAGCAGAAAATTGGGGGCTAGGGGGACACCCCAAGGCCTGAGTGAGTTTGTAGGGGCTACGCCATGCAGGGACAGGATTTAGGGAATGAGGGAAGGTGCCCCCCCCCCCAGCACCCTACAAAAAGGGCTGGGGGACACCCTCCCAGGGGAGGATTTTGGGGAGCACCCCAGTAGATTTAGGGTGGGCACCCTGTGGGGGAAAGGACTTGAGGGGTGCACCCCCAGGGCAACATATGGGGCAGAACGTGCAGAGGGTAGCAACCCCAGGTCCGGGAAGGTTTGTGAGGGCACCCCCACCTGAGAAAATATGGGGGGCACCCCCAAAGGTTTGGGAGGGTACCCTCGAGCTTTAGAAAGCTGGGGTGCACCCCTAGTGATGGGGGGCTTGGGGGGGGCATCTCCAAAGAGCTTGGTGGGGCACCCCAAGCTCTAGTGCATCTGGCACGGGGGGG